GGGGGGGGGGGGGGGCGTGTCTGCAGATCCAGGCAGACCGCCGGGCGGCTCCGTGAGCGTGGTCTCACGTGAACGGCGGATCCCATGACCAGATGCCCACGATGCTGCACCTGCCTCGGGCCCGACCGGCGGCACCGGGGGCCGGGCGCGTGCCTGCGCATGCCGGCACGCACACACACGGCGGTGTTCCTGGCCCTGTGGTGGTGCGCAGGACCTGTGGCGGGGAGGAGGCGGCGTGCAGGCGCGCGGGCGAACACGGGCGGAGGACCGGCACGGAGGACGGCAAGGGGCACAGAGGGGGGGGGGTGGTGACGCAAGAGAGAGAGACAGAGAGAGAGAGAGACAGAGAGAGAGAGAGACAGAGAGAGAGAGAGACAGAGAGAGAGAGAGAGAGAGGAGGGGGCGTGTATTTTTTTCTCCCCTCCCCGTGGGTACTCGAGCCTCCCCCTCCCTCCCTCGCCGAGCAAGGGGGCGGAGAGGGGCGCTGGTGGCCGCGGGCTTCTCCTCGGGAGGGGGGCACACACCGCGGAGCAGCGACAACAGGGGAGGGACGGGCCCGCGGCGGGCGCGGGCGCCGTCACTCGGACAGTCGGCAACTGACCTTGATCGGGAACCAGGAGCTGGGGTTGGTCCAGGAGAGGAGGTAGAGCCCGGGCTGGGTGGCGGTGAACTGGCCGGAGAACCAGGTGCCGGCGTGGGTGACCAGCGGGTCGGCCTCGGTGGTGAGCTTGGTGTGCATGGCCTCCGGCAGGGGCTCCATGTCGACCGGGGTGAAGGGGTGGCCGCCGGCGGAGGGGCGCATGGTCTTGGTGCAGCCGCCGTCGAAGGCCGCGGCCACATTGGCATCGAACTCGGGGCAGAATTGCAGGCGGAAGTGCAGGCCCTCGGGCATCTTGTAGATAAAGTGCACGACACTGTGTGTGCGTGTGTGGAGAAGGGGGGGGGGGGCAGTGTGAGGAGCCAAGGCGAGGATGTGTGTGTGTGTGTGTGTGTGTGTGTGCGTGTGTGTGTGTGTGTGTGTGCGTGTGCGTGCGTGTGCACGCGTGCAAAGGATGGGCGCGGGGTTGCCTGCACATGGCCCAGGGAGGGGCCCGAGGGCGGGGGCACGCACAGCTTGCCATCTTCCCGGCGGCGGTGCTCCGGCAGCTGGTACCGGGCCAGCTCGTCGGCCGTCACGGCGATCGGGATGAACTCCGACGTGGCCGAGTAGACCGACAGACGCCAGAAGTCGTGGATGTCGAAGCGGTCGAACTGGTAGGACGGGTCGTACAGGGGCGAGAGACACCCGCCGCGCATGCGACAGGTGCACAGGCCGCCCATGACCGACTAGCCGGGGGACGGGGGGAAGGGGGGGGGAGATAGGAGCAGAGAGGCAGG